TGTAGCCCAGGACACTCGTCAGTCAGTGTCTCCCAGGGAGTGCTGTAGCCCAGGACACTCGTCAGTCAGTGTCTCCCAGGGAGTGCTGTAGCCCAGGACACTCGTCAGTCAGTGTCTCCCAGGGAGTGCTGTAGCCCAGGACCTTGTCAGCCAGTGTCTCCCAGGGAGTGCTGTAGCCCAGGACACTCGTCAGCCAGTGTCTCCCAGGGAGTGCTGTAGCCCAGGACACTCGTCAGTCAGTGTCTCCCAGGGAGTGCTGTAGCCCAGGACACTCGTCAGTCAGTGTCTCCCAGGGAGTGCTGTAGCCCAGGACTTTGTCAGTCAGTGTCTCCCAGGGAGTGCTGTAGCCCAGGACACTCATCAGTCAGTGTCTCCTAGGGAGTGCTGTAGCTCAGGACCTTGTAAGTGAGTGTCTCTTTTTTTAAAGATTTATTTATTTATTTGAAAGTCAGAGTTACAAGAGAGAGAAGTAGGAGCAGAGAGAGAGAGAGAGAGAGAGAGAGAGAGAGGTCTTCCATCGGCTGGTTCACTCCCCAGTTGGCCACAACGACTGGTGCTGCACCGTTCTGAAGCCAGGAGCCAGGAGCTTTCTCCCATTGGGTGCAGGCACCCACTACTTTCCCAGGCCATAGCAGAGAGCTGGATCGGAAGCGGAGCAGCCTGTACTAGAACGGGCACCCATATGGGATGCCAGCACTGCAGGTGGTGACTTTACCCGCTATGCCACAGTGCCAAACCCATCCCACTCTTATTTTTTACTGGGCTCTATTTTCAATTCAATCTATACACCTATGAATAATTCTATGTTAAATAAAGAGTTCGACCAATGGTATTAAATGGAAAAAGAAAGTAATAAAAAAAAGATAATAAACTGTTGCTCGATGGTCAAGACAAGTTGTTCAAGTCATTGTTTCTCATAGTGTCAACTTCACTTCTACAGGTTTCTTTTTAGGTGCTCTGTTAGTTGTCACAGATCAGGGAGACATATGGTATTTGTCCCTTTGGGACTGGCTTATTTCATTAAGTAGAATGTTTTCCACATTCATCCATTTTGTTGCAAATGACTGGATTTCGTTTTTTTTTTTTTTTAACTGCTGTGTAGTATGTCTTTCAAAATAAGTAAAAATAAAATTAAGAAAAAAAAAAGTCTTGGTTGCTCCACTTCTGATCCAACTTTCTCCTAATGTTCCTGGGAAAGCAGCAGAGACTGGCTCAAGTCCTTGGGCCCCTGCATGAGTGTGGGAGACCCGGAAGAGGCTCCTGGCTCCTGGCTTCAGATCAGCTCAGCTCCAGCCATTGCGGCCATTAGTGGAGAGAACAAGTGGATGGAAGACCTCTCTCTCTCTCTCTCTCTCTCTCTCTCTCTCTGTCTCTACCTCTCTCTGTAACTCTGTCTTTCAAAATAAACAAAAATAAAACCTAAAATACATCCCATGGAATACTATTTTAAGGGGTAATTTCTTGATTTTGAATATAAGAGCACCACAAATTTGATGGAATGAAATACGTGTGTCAGTGGGGGTGTGATCCACTTTATTTCTACTTTATCTTTTATTTGTACTTTCACTTTGAATTACCTCTTTATTTTTATTTCCTCTTGTCTTCCTTACAGCAAGGACTACCCTTGGGAAAATTCTGTACCGACCAAACCTGGCCAGCAGGTAACTGTGGCCCACAAGCCGGCTGCTGTATGCTGCATTCAGTATTCAGGTATGCAGGGTCTAGGGTGTTCAGTTCCCAGGTAGGCAGCGTCTGGGTCATGTAATACTCAGAGTAGGGTGTTCAGTACTCAGGTAGGCAGCGTCTGGGTCATGTAATACTCAGCGTCTAGGGTGTTCAGTACTCAGGCAGGTAGCATCTGGGTCATGTAATACTCAGAATAGGGTGTTCAGTACTCAGGTAGGCAGCGTCTGGGTCATGTAATACTCAGAGTCTAGGGTGTTCAGTACTCAGGTAGGCAGCATCTGGGTCATGTAATACTCAGAACAGGGTGTTCAGTACTCAGGTAGGCAGCGTCTGGGTCATGTAATACTCAGAGTCTAGGGTGTTCAGTACTCAGGTAGGTAGAGTCTGAGGGCTCTAGGGCTATTTGTAGTGAGTATGTAGAGTCTTTGATTTTCATTATTCAGGGATGCAAAGTCTGTGTTATTTGTTACTCAGGTGGGTAGAGTCTGGAGTACTCAGGTAGGCAGAGTGTGGGGTGTTCAGTACTTAGGTATGTAGAGTGTGGGGTGTTTGGTACTCAGGTAGGCAGAGTCTGAGGTGTTTAGTATGCATGTGGGCAGATTCTGGGTTTTTCTACTTGGGCAGGTGGAGTGTGGGTATTCAGTACTCGGGTAGGGGGAGTCTGGGGTATTCAGTACTCAGGTAGGGGGAGTCTGCGGCTCCTCTGTGTGAATGTACAGTAACAAGTGAACACTGGGTGTTTGGTACTCAGCTCTCTGGCCTGCGGCTCATCTGTGTGAACGTGCAGTAACAAGTAAGCAGCAGCTGGTTTGCACGGCCTTGGCCCTACTGACACCTCCAGGCCCAGTACCACGCAGCCCCTGCATGCAGGTTGCTACTGTGAAGCGTCGCCAGCCAGGTGACCTGGTGGTTCAGATTTCTCACTGCCTGAGAACGTGAACATGGATTAGCTGAGATTGTGCACTTACCTGCTGCCAGCGTGACCCTGTGGGTTAGGGTCTCACACAGAACATTTATCTGTTTGACACAGGAGATGGGCGTCGGTTGGCCTGTGGCTTAGCCAACCACCTGTCCCTGGTCTTTGATGCCAGCCTTACTGGAACACCCACTGTTTTTCCAGGTAAAATGTGTCTTAATCTAGTTGGCATGAATTTAAGGGTGGATCTTGTTTTGGTCGTGGTGGTCAATTGCTAAGTGTGTTTTTTTGAGTGTTCAAACAACAACAGGACAGAACAAGACTTGAGTAGGTTCTGGGGGTGGTGCTGTGAGGGTGACACTTCACAAAGCGACTTGCTCTGAGCACGTCTCCAGGCCGAGTGAGCGCAGCTGTGAGGCCAACATCGCGGAGCTGTGATAGCTGGTGCCCTGTGCACAAAGCACGGAACGCTGTGGAATCTAGGGCAGAGAGTGAAGTCAGATCTTACATATTTGAAACATATTTAATTAACTAATGAAAAGCCGTATAACTGAAACCTAGTTTGATGTTCAGTAGCGGTTGTGCACAGTCGTGTTCACAGATGAAGCGAGGGGAGCAGGTTTTTAGGAAGCAGATTTGAGAAGAGAGCAGCAGAGCTGAGATGAGATGAGTCAACCTCCTGACTCAGACGCACACGGCTTCCTTCTTCTGAGCCAAATCCTTGCAACGCTCACCTCACGTTTGCTCTCGGTAGACATTTCAGGGTGCACCAGTCTCGCCGTTCCACCTGTTCTCGCGGGGTTTCCACGGTGGGCTCTGTCTCCAGTCGTGTGATTGTTAGGAGACGAGGAGTGGGCAGGCGCGGGCCAGGCCAGGGCCCCGGGTGGGGCCCTACCTGGAAGCAGGAAGGTGCTGCCGCCTCTGTGTGTCTGGGCCCGGGTCGGGTGTGGTGCTTTCTGCCTGTGCCTCTGGTGTCACCAGGTGCCCCGGCGACTCCAGGGAGGCCCTTGTGAGTGTGGACGGAGCCCGACTGACTGCCTGCTGCGAGGAGAGCCGCTGACCCTGGGCGTTCCTCTAGGTTTTCATTGTTGGAAAAGGCTTTCCCATGAGTTAGGAGAGCGCAGTGGACGCTGAAACTTGTCTTGGAACAAGGCGCAGCATTCCTGCTGGGGGTGCCTCCCCATCCTGTCGCACGGGCCCAGTCGGATAGTCATGCATTTTAACTGAAAATACAGTTCATGCCTCAGCACCCACCCAGGAAATTTATTTCCGTCCTAATCCAAGACAGGCCAGGTGATGAATTGGAATTCTGTCCTGGGAGAATGTGGGGCCTCTGAGGTCATGGCCAGGTAGTGCCGCTCAGCTTGAAAACCAGTGAGAGTGGCCGGCGCTGTGGTGTAGAAAGTTAAGCTTCTGCCCGCACATGGATGCCGGTTCAAGTCCTGGCTGCTCCAGTTCTGATCCAGCTCCCTGCTAATGGCCTGAGGGAGGCAGTGCTCAGGTCCCTGTCATTCATGTGGGAGACCTGGAAGAAGCTCCTGGCTCCTGGCCTCAGCTCAGCCCAGCCTCGGCCGTTGTGGCCATTTGGGGAGTGAATCAGTGGATGGAGTATCTCGCCCTCTCCGTCTCTCTCTCCTTCTCCCTGTATCTCTGCCTTTCAAGTAAATAAATATTTTTTTTTAAAGAAAATCACTGATATTGACCGTAACTAATTCAGTACAGGAGTTTAGCGTTGGTGCTTCAGAGTTCAGATTGTCTTCCGTCAAAAGCTGCCGTGGAGTTCCAGGGTGGCTGGGGTGGGGGGAGCTCCAGCCCTCGTGCAGGTGCAGCTGGCACCGTCCTGCTGGAGGGGCCAGGGTCAGCTGAGGGTCCCCCAAGACCGACTTAGTGAAGAGCCCGCTGCAGATGGGAGACTATGCTCTGAGCTCTGCCAGGCCGTTTTCTGCCCTCTGAGATCTCCCTTGGTGGAGAAGCCTCGTGTGCGCTCCGTCTGCGGTGGGCGGTTCATGTCCCCTGTGCTGAACTGTTTCCTGACACGTGGACCCTGGGTCTGGCAGGAGGACGCTGGCTCAGCTCCTTACCACTGGGGGCCGTCATCAAGCGACATCAGGGTGGGAGCCGCTGTCTGGTTCTGGGGAGATGTGTTGACCCCTGTGACGAGCCTGAGGAGAGGGGAAGGGGCCTGGCTGGGGAGGCCGAAGCCTGAGGGCTCCAGAGGGCCCCTGCCATGTGGGATCCCTGCCATGCACCCGAGGCCACAGCACTCCGGAGCCCGTGCCTGGGCCTGAGCCTGGAAGAGGAAGCGGGCTCTTTGCCAGTCCCGTGAGCAGCGACAGGCAGGCCCATGGTGTCCTGTGGCTCTGCTGGAGGCATCCCTCTGCCACTCCGGTGATGGGCGGGGCTTGTGCTTGCACGCAGCTTTTGTGAGCTGGTGGACAGAGGCCCAGAAGACATGCGGCAGTCTTGGGCAGTGCGTGGTGTCATGGGAGAAGGACATGGGAGGTGGAATCGCACCCTCCTCCTGCCCTCGGTGAGCCAGTGGTGTTGGTGTCCCAGAGTGGGCCTCCTGGGGCTGCCGGGGTAGGTCCTTTAGAGAGAGTTTTCACGGTGGCATGGAGTCCAGACTTAAGCACTACTCGTAAGAGTGTTGCAGGTGCCATTTGCTACCGACACCTACAAGCCCTGGCCCCAGAACACTGTCCTCCTGCCACCAAGGGGCAGGGGTGAAGGCTGGAGCCTGGCTGGCTTGGCCTCAGCACGGTTGCTGAAACTGCACACTGTCCACAAGGGGGCAGCAGAGCTGTTCCAGACGGCTGTTGCTCGGTGCGTTTTTGGCTCTGAGATTCCCTGGGTTCAGGTTACAGAGTGAGTTGCAGACTGACTCGTGTGCCTTTCCATTTTCCTCGTTGGTTTTCTGACCCATGTGATTCACTTTCTGATCTTTAAATTACTGCGTGTGGTGCATACACCAAGACCGACATGCCAGTGGCCGCCCTCCCTGGGGAGGTCCCTGGGTGACCAGCGTCTTCCCAGAGCAGTGGTGACTTGGCCGCTTGTCCTTGCTGCAGGAGGCGGAATGTGATTGCTCAGCAAGTCTTGATTGCTGGTTGTTGGGGCGTCCGTCTTCCCCACCAGCCTGTCTCTCGTGGCCTCTGTGCAGAGCCCAGCGGCCCCTTGTCCGCCTCACTCGTCTCTCCTGTGTCTCTTGCGCAGGGCGCAGTTTTGAGAACATCCTGGGGACACAGGGGGTGGCAGCCGAGGGACACAGAGGGTGGCAGGCAGGGGACACAGAGGGTGGCAGCTGGGGGACACAGGGCTGGCAGCCTGGGACACAGAGGGTGGCAGGC